ATAAAAGAGCAGACCTGACCTGCCCGCTGCTCCCCTCAGCAGTGTACTTCATCAATCTGCCTGTTCTACTCCCCACTCTGTCTCGGGTGAAGCCTCTCACTGCCCACCCCACTCCTCAACCCCGCACCTCTGGCCTATACCCCAGTCCTGTATGCATAAATAAATAAATCTTTAAAAAAAAAAAAAAGAGAGAGAGAGAGGAAGAAACATTAGAGGCAGAAGCTTGTCCCCTGTGATGGTGGAGGCCAATACCTTGCAAAGCACGAAACCAGGTAACTGTGGTGGCTCCAGCAGCAGCAGTGTCTATGGTCATGGCAGGAGGTTTTATCACTTGCAGGAAACAAAGCTTAGCAGGAGAGGAGAGCAGAAGGGACAGGGGAATTACAGAGAGTTTACAAGAGATCTGTAAACTCAGCCAAGCACAGAGGCGGCTGGGCCTCGCTGCTCCAAAGAAGACATGATTTAGACAATTCTTGTGTATGGGTAAAAAACTCAAGGACTGTATTTGTGAAAAATTGTATAACAGGTTATTTTAGTTTCTGTTCTGTGGAAAATGTAACGCCTTTCAACAAAGGGTTTTAATGTAGTTGGTTTTTTGTTTTTTTTTTTTTTTTGCACCCATGTTCTTTATTACTAACTGTATTATTCTGGTCATGACACTGAATACATGTCTTTTTTAAAAATAAAGATTTTCATTGCATCAGTGTTGGTCCATTTATTTATAGGAAATAATAGTAATTAACTAAAGAATAAGGAGATAGGCCCTCCCTGGTGGTGCAGCGGGTTAAAGCACAGCACTGAGAAACTAAAGCCACTTCCGCATGAGTTCGATTCCCGCCTGCCCTGGAGGTGACCACATGGCATGGCAGACCTCTCCTGACCCGCCTGCTACTCCCCTCAGCAATGTACTTCATCCATTTGCCTGTTCTGCTTCCTACTCTGTCTCTGGTGAAGCCTCTCACCGCCCCTGAGCCTCTGGCCTGTACCCCAGCTCTGTATGCACAAATAAATAAATCTTTAAAAATATATATTTTTTAAAGAATAAGGAAGTAGCCAGTTTTTACTCATGTTCACACTGATCATTTTTCACTTTTGCTGTATTCATATGTGAGTATGTAATCAAAACAAGAGTTTTAAAAATAAGTTAAATGGAACCTCAGTGGCTATTATGGGCAGGGGATATCAGTGGTTCTTATAGGCAGACCACAAGAGTAGATGACTGGGATTCTGAATCTGTTCTTAGCTGTGATTGGAGAAGACAAATTATTGGTAGGAGAACTGAAAATAGAGAAATGGGTATGGAGTAAGGAATCAGTAACAATCTCTATACAGAGAGGCACCTGGGCTCCGTGGGAGACAGAGAGAGAGTTCAGGGTCAAATCCAATCCCTGCTGTTTGCTAACTCTTGGACAAGTTACTCTGTCTTCTAAGAAATGGGACCACTAAATCCTTGCCTCCCAAAGGAATTAGAAAAATTAAGATAGCTTTTTAAAAGTATCTGAACTTGTTTGAATTCTTAGTTCAAGCAATAAATAAATAGTGGCAAAATATTCATGGTAATAGTAATAATAGTGTCATCATCATCAATGATATGATTATAACCTTGGGAACTATAAAAATGATCAAATTAGCTCCCACATGCCTCACTCTAAGTATTTGGGCCAGTTGTATCAAAATTATCATTATTATCACTCTTGCTGTAGGCTTTTTGCATCTTAATGTTCATACATTTGTTTTGTTGTGTTCCTTTGTTCTGTGTTGGTGTTGTGGGTTTTCTTAGAAGTAACGCTAGACCTTCTTTAGAGGATCTTAGGTTCATAACAAAATTGAGCAAATGGTAGAGTTCCCTTTCCCTTACCCCCCCCACCCCAATATTCTGCCCCTTCACAAATCTGTATCTTGTTCTGCTTCGTTTTCCCTGTGGGTAACACAACAGAAAGATAGAATGGCAAGCAAAGTGGCAGGTGCATCCTCAGATGCCAGGAGGCATTCTACAACCAGAAAGGAACCTCTGGGTGTCAGTGGTGCCTTGCCACAGGTATCTGACTGAGGGTGCCTGGCTCCACCTCACTCTGTGCAAAGGAACTAACATAACTTTAAATAGCCACCACCCCAAAAGTACGAGAGTTTTGCAGCTCTATTCATTTTTTGCCCTGTTCCAAGCAGTGATATCACAGTGTGTTAGGTGGAATTTCTTGCCTTGAAACAGGATCAATATGCAATATTGTAATGTACTTTTTAGAAAAATGGTTTATAGACTTCTAAATGTCGTTAGCTGATTCAATAAGTTGTGTATTGTCAGCTCTGGACATCATATTTAGATTGTGGAGAATCCACAGAGGTAACTGTAATTCCACCTGCTGCATTTGTATATCCTTTCCAAGGTAATGTTTAAGTCTGCATGTCACCAATGAGCCCAGTCAGAGGGCGGAGAGGGTTTGAGTCCATAGCAATTTGGGAATATCTATTCTGACTCATCCACAAAGCTGTAAAGAACATTAAACTTTTTTGATTTACATTTTCTGAAAAACAAGACTCACAGGCAAATAATTTTGTGTAGCTTATGAATAGACCAATCAATAAAATGTTATTTTTGTTGCTTTCTCTGCATGCTAAGCATCGCAGGCTCCTCAGAGATTAATGTTAAGACAGAGTCCTCACCTCTAAAATCTCTCCAGACCCACAGTGACCATAGAAGTAATACAAATTAAGATGGAAAAATCAGAAAGTATAAATAGAAAGTATAAAATACACCCACTGTCACACCAACCATGGGAGAAATTATTTTGATTTATTTCCTCACAAACTTGTGTGTAGATACACTTATAAGTGTTTGTGTATTCATATACATAGATAATTTGTTTAAAAAAGAGATTGTGTACACTATTTTCCAACATTTTTCTATTAGTAATGCTTTGCAAATACCTTTCCTTATCATAAAATATGTGTTTACATAATCCCTTCTAAGGTATTTGGTTGAATGATGAATCACAGTTTATATGACTCATCCCCTATAGTACATTTTGTTAGGTTTTGATAATTTATTGTAATCATCACTTTGGAATAAATATCCCTGGTGCACATGGTGTTTTGTGCACATGTCTTATATTTCCTCAGAATCAAGTGTTAAGATGCACTTTGGAATCTTACAATCTAGTTGAAGAGCCCCAACACACACATGTGAAAAAGAAACAAGCTGATAAGGGTAAAGAAGAAGCTAAATTAGTACACAGCCAGGAGTCAAGGGCCAGGGAGCTCATTTCATGCTTGGTTGATTACAGGCTTCAGGAAGGACAGTTGCAAGTGACAGAAATCAACCTTAGTGGAAAAGGCATATTATCAATTCATGAAATTGGAAAATCCACTTTGGCTTCAGATTGAGCTGGAGCCAGAGTTCACATGTGTGGGGGGAGGGGAGGGAGTTGTGTGTGCGAGTGTGTGTGTATGAGTGTGATCTATCTGACTTCTTATTGGTTCAGCCTGTTACTCTGTGAGCTCATTCTTAGGCAAAATTTCCCTATATGGCAGCTACCTCCAGCAGCTCCAGACTTGAATGGTATTTATATCTCATAAGAAGAGCCCTTCCTTCAGCTTTCTTACTCTGTTACTCCCTGTGTGGCCTGGTATATGCCTTTTGCCCACACACCAATGTGTATCTCTGGTGGCTAACTAGGTCATGTACCCACTTCCTGGGTGAGAGAGGTAGGGGGTGTGTGAATGAAGACCCCTCTGGTAGAATGGCATGCAAAAGAAAGAAAAATGATGGAAAGATCAACATTTGAAAGAGTGTCACTCTGAGGATACTGGAACTTCAAAGAGGAGTAACTATACCCATTAGGGGCTTTGGGCTGCAAGTATCAGGGCAACTCCAAACCCATTTGGCCTGTTTGCCAGTATGCTCTGTTCTTAAGTCAGAGGCAGGTTGGGCTCTAGCACCGCATCATTGGTTACTCAATGATGTCACTATATGCCAAATGCATCTCAGGTCAGGTTTCCCTCAATATTGCTGACAATCAGTGATTCCAGCTTCCTTGTTCCCAGCCAGCACCAAAAGGAGGGAAATGGCTCCCTCTGGCAGGGACTGTGAAGCCTTTCTTGCCATTTTGATGGGCCAGGCCAGGTCTTGTGCTCATCCCCGAACCAAAAGCCAGCACTTAGGAATACTGCACATTGAATGGCCAACAAGTATCTCCTCCTGTAAGAAAGGGTATGGTCGTCTTATACATGTGCAATAATAGATATTTGAATGAAAGTGGGGTCCAATTAGGAAGAAGTGGAGGATGCTTTCTGGATGACTAGCCAACAACGGCTTTCAAATAATATTCTGTTAGAGTGGAAATATGGGTTTGAATAAGATGGGAAAGTGATCAGTGAACAAAGTAAAATTTCAGGCAATTCTCTGGACATTGCTGACCTGGGAGCAAGATTGAGGCATGGGATGATAGACAGTTTGAACTATTTCCTTATTGAAGTATTTACTAGGCACCAGGTCCTATGTTCAGTGTTGGAAACAGATGAGATAGATAAAATCATATCGTTCTGGACTTCTAGTAGGAGACAACCAACTAATTTAACATGTGATACATCAAGAAAACAAAACAAGATAAAGGTGATAAGAGAGAAGTGGAAGCAAGGACAGCCCAAGGCCTCTTGTCTATGTTGACATTGAACTAGGAACCTGAAGGATAGAATAGAGGGAGCCAAGACAATTTGGAAAAAGCGTGTTCTAAGCAGAAGGAACAGCAGGTGTAAAAGCCCTGAAGCAGACATCGATGGCAGACTGGTAGAACAAGAAGGGAGAGAAGGGGGAGAGTGGAAGTCAAAGAGGACAGATGCGGTCACATAGGTCCTTCCAGGCATGACAGACTTCATACTTCCTCTGTGTGAGACATTGAATCCATGAAGACAGAGGATGTTATTGAGGCCGAGGGTGATGTACCCTCATGCCAAGTCTCTACCCTAAGACTGATTTTAACCTGTTCTCCTCTTCTCTCTTCCAGGCCATGTACATGTTCTATGCCCTGGCCATTGTATGTGATGACTTCTTCGTCCCCTCCTTGGAGAAGATCTGTGAGGTATGTGCCTTGTATTTGGCATCTGAGCTGGACCTTGGTACTTCAGCTTCTTCTACCAAGGTCCTGGGGAGTCCATCATGCCACCCGGAGTGGGAGCGCTGGCGTCAGCGTGCTTCCTGGTGATGGGTGATAGCAGCAAAGAGTCCCATCAGTCTGCTCAGGACTTCAGGATGCCAGTTCAGTCAGCTTCAGCCCACACTGCCAACTCTGCCTGCTCCAGTAGGCTGGAATTCAGTCTTCGCAGAGTGAGGAGCCTTCAGCCACACGGCCCACCATCCTTCCTCTCTGTCCATGTACAGAAATGTTCCCAACAGAGGCCTGGAAGGAAAGATGAAAGACCTGGCTGCAGAGACCAGGAAAAGGACGCTGTCAGAAAGCAGCCCAGGGAACACCAGGCTGAATACCGAGTTCCATCCCTTTCATCAGAAATATTCAGCTTATCTACAACTCTTTCATTCTCTTGCCTCTTTCATCTCTTTGTCTGTTTTGAAATGTAGTTTTCTTTATGTGGAAGCTTTCCATTTGATTTTATTTTTAATTTTGTACCTCATTTGCAGAAGGGATCTCTTCCAGGCACACCTTCCATCTGGAACTCAAGCCTCTTTACACAGCTCTCGAAATTTATCCTCCCTCCCTTCCTCCCCCTTTCAAGTCCCCCCATCAGGTGTCTAGTTCACTAGGTCTTAGGGAACAGCCTGGAAGGCAGGTGTATTTTTAATAAGTTCCAAGGTGATGCTGAAACTTCGGGCTGGAAACCTCAGTTTGAAAAGCAGTTTCTTCTATATCCTAGAAGTCTGTTAGGTTTTTTTGGTAATTAATAAAAATAAAGGAGAGCCATCCCATAATAACCCTAAAGAGGCAGTAGGAGAAGGAAAGCCAGTGAGGTGACTGGGGGGAGAGGGGAACAGTGCATGTGAGTATAAGCCCTTGTCCCAAGTCATGTACCCTGAGGGTGGGACACGGTCAGAAGTCAAAGAAGCCTGGAAGCCCCCTAGCTGGTGATTCTGAGCATCCTATGAGATGTGGCCAGGGTCCGAGTTAATTTGGGGTGGAAGAAAAAGGGACTTAATGAAATAGAAAAAGGAATTGACAGTGGATGAAGGAGAGAACAAGAGATGGGCCTTCAGTGTGGATTTCCATGGTTGCCCATTGGGGAGTCCAAGCTGGGGATGACATGGTGGGACAAGGCTGGGGGCTCATGGCCAGTTGAGGAGTATGAGCTCTGTATTAGGTCTCCTTCCCAGAAACACCTACACCCCAAGACTGGATGCTAACATGCCACGGCCAGCGGCTCCTTTCAGCTTGAGGTATCACATCTCCATCTTAGGACCTTCTCCACAACCTGTGTGGAGTTTGGCTAGTTCGTTGAGAACAAGAGACCCAGAATTCCAGGCCAAAGACTCAATTAGGACTCCGCTGCAGCCTCCTGTAGGTCCCAGGGAGCCAGCAACTATGCCAAGGCCATGCTGCCCCTCCATGGCTGAGCAGGGAAGTGCAGCAACCTGTGCCAGTAGAAAGAGGGACAATGAGGTCCCAGGGCATCTCAGCTGGGACACCTGCAGGAAATTTGCTATTGACTGACAGTCAGCCCCTTCTTTTTGGATCATGAGTGAATGCACAAAAGCTGAATTTTCACCACATGTTAGAATGTATGAATTACCTTTTCTTCTTGCACATGTATGAATTACCTTTTCTTCTTGCACATCACCTTTTGCACTAACAAACAGGGCAACCTGTCATGTAGACTCTCTTGGAAGGGCTCACCATCACTTTCTACTTAGGTTAAACCCCCTTTCCCCACCCCAGCCTTCCAGCTGAACTCCAAGAGAGTGATGCCCCCAATCCCAGTTCCTCATAGCCTCCTAGAATCAAGGCTCGAAAGCTGGCTCCATAACCCTGACCTGTCTCAGATTAACCAGTAGTGAAAAAAAAAAAATCTGGATATTAAAAATGTGAATTTTGACTTCTTTAAGAAATATAAATATTTAGCAACACGGAGGGAAGTAGATAGTACTGCCCTTAGAAAGGAGGTGAGTATTAACTGGGCCTCACATCTGCCCATTCGACTCCTTCCTGTGTTATGTGTGACCCCATGACATTTGGGTTGGGGACCCCTTGACCTTGTCACAACTCTACTCAGACTGGCAGCACCGTCCTGTGCTCTGCCCCTCAGAAAGTAGTAAAAAGAGCTTTGGCCCAGCAGGGCTAGGAGTGGGCAGGAGGAGGAGGTGGCTGAGCTTGGGCCCTCGGAAGTCCACCACCTTTCTTTCCAGGAGGAATCCTGACTCACTTGTGCTCTGTCCTTTCCCCTCTGTAGCGCCTGCACCTCAGTGAAGACGTGGCCGGGGCCACATTTATGGCAGCAGGCAGTTCTGCCCCAGAGCTGTTCACATCGGTCATAGGTAAGTGACAGACTGGAATGTCTCTGAAGGACAAGGTTCTGGGGACACGTGGCCTTCCTGTGGGTGATCTAACCGCAGATGAGAAGTCTAGGCCCTGAGGAGCAAACATCAGCCCCCTCCTCGCTAGCTGTGGTTGCTGTTATTATTTTATTAAAGTGATGTTCTTGCTTTGTATGTATGTGTCCTAGACTCAGTGCCGATGCTCCTATGACAGTCCCCAAAGACGACTAGAAGCTTCTGCCCAACCCTCAGCTGTTTCCTATAGATGCCCAAAACAATCTAACTAACCTTGTGAACTCTCCTGGCTTTGGAAGACAACCAGCCCCAAGAGCCATGCTGACACTGGGTCTGTGTTTCAGGCGTCTTCATCACCAAGGGTGACGTGGGCGTTGGGACCATCGTGGGCTCAGCGGTGTTCAATATTCTGTGCATCATCGGTGTCTGTGGGCTCTTCGCAGGGCAGGTAAGACTGATGGTCTCACTGAGCAGCCTCATACCCCAACCTGCACTGGGGAGGAGGAATATGGCAGTCAGACGAGGTCTGTGATGCAGGAATACAGTCAACCCAGGGCCAGTGGCTTTAGCCACAGCTGTGTGGCATCTCACAGCCCAAGAGGCTGACCCAGCTGGCACTGGACACTGTCAGGCACCATTATTCGGTCTCCACAGCAGAATGGGGAGTGTCCACCTCCGTGGAACAACAAATCAGCCAGGCTGGGAATCTGATGGAGTCACTCTCACTTTGATAGACTACTGATCTGAATCTGATCTGGAGTGACCTAATGCAAGGAAGGGTCTGATTTTGCCTCAGTGGAAACACAATAGATACAGAGAGAAAAGGAATAAAGGACCCAGACTTTTCTTTTCAGCTAAAAACAATTTGCAACTACCTCCTTTCAGGATCCAACCTTTCTTTCTCTACAGTGACCGGGCCTTTCACTTACATATTCACTTGGGCACCTTAAGTTGGGGGCTGGGCATGAGGGGTTTGTACGCCTGCATTTTATTTATGAAGACTGCCAGGGAGTGTTGTAGGGTATGTGTCCTTTGTGAATTCTGGTGTTGACTTTGGAAAGTCTTAGGAAGTCACCCTAAGGTCACCAAAATGTGAGGCTGCAGGTCTGCCTTGGTGCTGCCATGGAACCTGGGAGTCTGCAGCCTTCCTGCCAGGTCTGTGTCCCAGTTTCTTCATAGGAATTTTATTCAGCTACAAGCTGGCTTGTGCTCTCTGCCCAAACACCCAGCACTCTGAGGATTTTCTAGGAAAAGAGGCTTCTAGAAACTCATGGAGGGCATTCCACATGCAATATTAAGGAACTTGATGATTCCAACCAGCTCCCTCATTCTTCAGGTTGCAGAGGCAACTGGTTGAAGAGCTAAGGAAAGCTCCTGTGAACCTTCCCACGCATTTTTCCAGGCTCTCCCATCTGTCAGTCAGACGGTCAGGGGCACCTAATGCTGCCCATGCCTAAGGCAAGTTACAGTTCCCAGGGCAGGGTGGACTGTTCACTGCTGCCCGTTTTTTGCTTCTATTCTCATCACACTGATTGATTTGTCTGGGTTGCCTAGAGGGTTTGTTGCTTCTGGGTGACAGGCAGCGGGAAACGTGATCTCAGCAGGAACAAGCTGCAGAGCCCAGGGACAGCCCCAGATGAGTCGGCCTCCAGCCAGCTGTTTCCATCCATGACAATGTAGTTCTGCCCAACTTGCTTGATTGAACGTTGTTTTTTGGGTTTTTTGTTTGTTTGGTTTGGTTTTTGTTTGTTTGTTTGTTTGTTTAATCCCTTTGGTCCACTAGCTCTTGGCTTAGATGTGTGGACCCACAATATGGTAGTATTTTCTTTCTTTTTTTTTTTTTTAAAGATTTCCTATTAATGTAGTTAGCACCCAAAACAACCAACTTCCAATTTCGCCTTTGGTGCCATTTGCACTGCACCAAGTCTCATCTGTACTGAACATGTTCTACTGCCTTCAGAGATGAGATGTCACATCCCATAGAAAAGCCAGCTGCTGTTAGCATGCTTTTAATTAGCATTGTCACCATTAGCAGTATGATTATTAGCCTCTTAGTAGTGTTGTCATTAGTTCATTAGTCATTTGTACCTAAGTTTGATTCAAAAGCAAGCCCAAAGGGAAGAAATATCGTAAGGAAATGAAACAAATGACTGGGAAGTGTCTAGTAAATGCCACACAACTAATTGCATATGAAATGCTTGTATGCATTTGTGTTTCATAATTTATTGGCATTATAGTTAATCACTGAATTGGTTAGGTCTGTGTAAAAGGAAAATTACTTCCTGAAGTTTAGCAAGTGCTGGTATCACTTTACCCTCTCTAGGTCTTTGCCAAGTTCATCTCACAATCCTACTTGGCCTTGGAGAGATATACCAACCACAGTGTTGTAAGAAGTAGCCCACATGGTGATTCTGTCAGCCCTTCCTTCTCACTTTCCTTGCCTTGGGCCCACTTAGAAAGTTCCAAACCCATCCAACTCTTTTTTTTTTTTTAAGAGTAAGTTTATTAGAAAGAGACAGGAGAGGAAAAGACACTTGCATAGGTACAAGTGGGCAAGAAGAGCCACCCCAGAAGGGGCAGGTTTGCAGAGAGAAAGACCTACATGGTTGCAGGCAGGTGGCTTTAGGAGTCTAGCTCTCTTTTTTTAAGACTTTGTAGAACCCCTTAAAGCCTTTACCAAGGAATCAAAATGTTTTAGAAAAGGCACAAGCCCAGGAATCACACTGGCCCAAGTTTGAATCCTGACTCTGCCATTTGCTAGCTGAGCAAATATGGAGAAGTTGCTTCACTCTTCAACCTTAATTTTCTCATTCTATAGAGTGGGTACCTACACACCTAGCTCCTAACATCTCTGTAAGGGTGCGTACAACTTGTTCCCCACTTTAAAAACTCTTCACAGTAAATGCTCAATAAAAGTTAGATATCTTCATCTGACAGATAAATAACTATCCTTGGGTTGTCACTTCCAAATTCCACCAAAGTCACTGAGGTACTTTGACCAACCCGTGGGTCAAAGTTACTTACTAACTAGTGGGACAGCAGCAGAGTGCCTCATGGGGAGGAAGGAACAGTCAGAAATATCCTCTAAATGAAAATCAAAATGAGGAAGTGGCAATTGAAGAAGTATCTCAGAGGACTGGCCCTTAGTCTCCCCGGCCTGATCCATGGGAGAAAACAGAAAAACCACTCTGAGACAAAAGCCACCTCCCATGTGGAGAAGCACTGCCGGGTGGTGAGCTGGTACAGTGGAACGTCACAGCAAAGGGTGGGTACTGGAAATTGAACTGATTAATAAATCCAATCATGAGTTATTTATGTTGCGCTGCACTTTAATTTGGCTGGGAGAATTACCAGCGAGTGCCTGTGGGCCTCTCCCTAATGTGTTCCAGCATGAAGGGCTGCTTGTGACCAAGTCTGTTACCCATCTGAAATTAAAGTAATTAAGCCGTAAGGTTTGAGTTCCTGTCTCAATTAGGGTTTTGATGAATTCAGTGTAATTAAATGTCTGCTGTATTTGCAGTTCGCAAACATAGACTGTTCTTTGGTGTTCGCCTAAGGTGCTTTGGGGAGTTTTATGGGACAAGAAGGAAATTGCTTCTTAGAAAGTGGCCTATAGAGTGGTTCTTGGCACCCCCACAAGACATTTACAGGGTTTTGGTCCTAGAGGTTTTTCTCATTATTTAAAAACAAAAAAGAATACATATCAACAAAAGAAGAACAAGAAGCTCTTATGTATCATATTGATATATTTCACTTATTTTATTGAAGGAACTTCATGCTAGCTTGGTACAACAGTGTGCTTATGAATTTAAACCCCACATCTAGAGCATGTTAAGCATTAAAGACATAACCACAAATAGAGAGTAAACAAGTTAACGGCCTCCCAGATTAGGACTTTCATATTCCATTTATGACAGTCTGGCAGATGGCTCCAGTTTATAATAAAGATCTCCAACATCCAGCTCTCCTGGCATCCTCGAATGTGCCTGATGTTCTTTGGCAAGGTTCATCTAATCCTGGCTGTGTTTCTTCAAATAACACCCTGAACTGAACCTGCCTTTGATTGTTTTGCCCAGAAGAAGACCCTAAGCAATGATTCAAATGCTGTTAATTTATCTGGAAAGTGATCCCAGGACTTGCCTCTTGGGGCATGGGAAACTGAGACAGGGAAGAAAAAGCAGCCAAAGAAAGTGTGTTTGCAAACCAGTACCTCTGTGGGCAGCTGGGATTTACTTCTGGGGGAACTGGGAGATGGTGTAGAGCAGGAGACTCTCCGTTATCTCACCCACAACTTCCACCAGTCTTTGGTTAAGTACTGTTCCCAGGGAATGCTAGTTCATTGATAGTCCGGCTTACTCAGTGCAGGCCAGGGAGTCTCTGGGGCAGAAAGAAAACCCCCAAATAGATATAGAGGCTGGCTGTTGGAAGCACCTGAAAAAGTAAAGGTAAAGAGAGTTAAATGGGGCTCAGAAAGCATTTGTTAAAAACTCATTCCTGAGTCTTTAAAAATAAGCCACCTGGGGGCCCTCCCTGGTGGCGCAGCAGGTTAAAGCACAGCACTGAGAAGTTAAAGCCATCTCAGCATGAATTCGAGGTGACCCACATGGCCCAGCAGACCTCTCCTGACCCGCCCGTTGCTCCGTCAGCAGTGTACTTTGGCGATCTGCCTGTTCTGCTCCCCACTCTGTCTCTGGTGAATCCTCTCACTGCTCCTGTATCTCTGGCCTGTATCCAGTTCTGTATGCATAAATAAATAAATCTTTAAAAAAAGTCCCTCCCTGGTGGCGCAGCAGGTTAAAGCACAGCACTAAGAAGCTTAAGCCACTTCTGCATGAGTTGGATCCCTACCTGTCCCAGAGGTGACCACATGGCATGGCGGACCTCTCCTGAACCGCCCACTGTCCCCTCAGCAGTGTACTTCGTCGATCTGCCTGTTCTGCTCCCCACTCTGTCTCTGGTGAATCCTCTCACCCTCCGCATCTCTAGCCTGTACCCCAGTTCTGTATGAATAAATAAATAAATCTTTAAAAATAATAATAATAAGCTACCTGGTAGGTCTTGTGCCAGCTCCCCTGGATGAAACGCTAGCATTCACACTAAGTGCCTGTTGGGTGGGAGTTCACAGCCAGGATGTCTTGCATTTAGGGAATATCCTCCAGTGCTAAAAATCAGCTACCTTCCTAGGCACATTCTGCTTTCCATTAGAACACAGAAGCCCCTACCTCCCTAGGGAAAACCAGAAAAGTCTGGATGATATAAAAATCATATGGATATATGGACTATCAGAGAACAGTGGAGACAAGAAAGGCTTGAGGAACTGATTTACTTCCTAAGTGAACATGAGCCTTGGCAAGACTAGGCGCAGGGAGTGCAGAGAGCTGCACAGAGCCAGGGCATTACTGGGTGGAGACAAAGCCCGCTGAGTTCCTGGCAATGTGGGGTGCTGGG